ATTCTAAACTGACTTTTTTTTTCTTTTCTAGCCGTGAATGAATCTCCAACTCAAAGGAATCTTTTCTGTCTTCATTAGTACTTTGTTATTTTTCCATAACTAAAGCCAATCAATATTTTGAACCAAGCTACTACCTAGGAAGTCTAATGGAATTAGATATACAGATGAGAGTTTCTCCAACCATTTATAAGGCCTGAATCCTTTCTATCACATTTTTGTATTCAGTATAGCAACACACCACTTTTTTTTTTAACATCTTTATTGGAGTATAATTGCTTTACAAGGGACAACACACCACTTTTAAAACTCAATTACAGGCACTGTAGGACTTAATCTACTATTTTTCAATAGGCTGCTTCCTAGACACTGAATTAACTTTGTTGGGGTAGAGATTTTACAAGTTATTCCATTAGAAGATTTTTCAATGATATTAAATGTGCAATTTAGCTACAAGAGTAAATACTGTGTTTTAACAACAACAACAAAAAGCAATACTATTGAATAAAAAAAAACAGTTTAGTGCATGGTATATACAGCATATATTTGCTTTTCTGACATTAGACTTTGTGATTAAAAGAGGTGATTTATTACATGCTGTTCATACCTCTTGGAGACAGAACTAAATCAAAGGTGATGATTAATTTCATTTAGCAGGGAAGTGGGAAGTATATTTTTAAAAATACCTAAATCCACTAAATTGTACATTATGCTATTATGGTTCTAAGTACATATCAGTAGATTGGCAAATCTGTTCTTTTGAAGCGTATCATCCCCAAATGAGCCCACCCACTTCCTTAAAAACCTTTAACACTGGGCTTCCCTGGTGATGCAGTGGTTGAGAGTCTGCCTGCCAATACAGGGGACAGGAGTTCGTGACCTGGTCCGGGAAGATCCCACATGCCACGGAGCGGCTGGGCCCATGAGCCATGGCCGTTGAGCCTGCGCATCCAGAGCCTGTGCTCCGCAACGGGAGAGGCCACAACAGTGAGAGGCCCACATACCGCAAAAAGACAAACAAACAAACAAACAAAAAACCTGTAACACGATTATTGTAGTAGCTAGTGGAAGGAAGGTGGGCTTTTTTTTATAGCAGTAGACAAAACAACATTGAAATACTGTGTAAAAGCTTAAGAAATAAAAATAATGAAAACAAATACTTGATATGTGTATTCTACTTGGGAGAGACTTTATAGTAGAATATTTAATGTACATAGAAGTTGGTTGATCAATTGGGTTCTAATGACCTTACTAAAAGTGAACTAAAGTATTTTCTAAATACATTAGTAGATAAGAATAAATTTTTAAAATGTCAAGGCCTTTGGTTAAAGTTAAGAATTAGCAAAAATTAAACTGTTTGCATTTGATGAAGTATAGATTAAGATAACAAATAAATTTGGGTTTACATGTGAATGAGATTTTGCACTGAAATATCTCTGCAAGTAACTATATAGAATTCTGTCATTCTTTATATTTATATTCTAATAATTATCCATTATACTAAGAAACTGTTAAGATAGCAACATATAAGGCACTACATGAAATCAAACCACAAATGAAGAAAGAAAATGCTTTGAATACTTATATAAATATCCAAATAAGTCTTGATATGAAGCTAAAAGGCTTATTTTATTAATACCTCAACTAAAATGTTAAGCTTGAGAACATCCCGGCGGTCCAGTGGTTAAGACTCTGCCCTTCCACTGCAGGGGCAAGGGTTTGATCCCTGGTCGGGGAACTAATATCTTGCATGCCATGCAGTGTGGCCAAAAAAAGAAAATATATTAAAAAATATTAAATGTTAAGCTCTATAATGTGGATTGATACAATTCCAGTCTTATTAGTTATTTTGTGATAGAAAATGTTAATGTTCTTTATGAGCTATGTAGTCCTTACATTTTTTCCCTTGGTGTAAGAACAACAGGGTAGTTTCTCCTCTGCTAACTACTCATATGTGTAACTGTAATTATGCCATGTTATCTACCCATTGCATATAAGTGAAAGTTTTTAGTAGCTTGATAGAAAAGTGCGACCATAACTGTCTGAAAATTAGAACAAGTGTGATTTTCCGAAAATACTCTTAAATAAAAATAACAGTGTCCAAAATTTGGGATAGTTAAGAAGTCAGCACTTCATTGGCTCACTTGATCCATGCATAGTGAGAAATGGGGGTCATAACAAGGTGCTTATTATACTTAACAAAGTTAAATGTATGTATTTCTTTTCCAATTTTTGATTAAGTTCAATAGAAATACTAGTGATTTTCTCCTCTCACAAGTTTCGCACAGCTTAACTCTGAAAATTGCAAAGATATTGTCGGATGGGTAATGCCTGTTTATCTAATTTCTATTCCCAGCATATTTTGCTTTAGATGTTGAATAAAATGGAGACTGTGCAATGACATGCAAAGTAATTTGTTTAAGTGTGTAAGTAAAATATATATCTGTATGGTCTTTGTGGAAGTCCTAGTAGGAAACATGCGGAATGGAGTTTTAGCTTAGCTGTATACTTTTGTCAGGAAGTTATTATCATGTGAATGTTTATGTTAGAGCTAACAAGCACCACTATAAAAATAATCCTGATGTAGACTACTACAGACAGCAGTTTAACATAGTTGGACCTCTGGTTGATGCAGGTTTCTGCTTTAAATGAGAATTTCTTTGCTTACAAACCTAGTCTTCTAAGTTCTGTAATTCACTAAGTTCATAACTAGATGCCATAAAGCATTATTCCTATCTTTGTAATGGGGCTTTAACTGTTATACTTTGTCTTTACACAAACAGTACAAAAGGAAAAAAATAAAGCTCAAAAAATTGCATGTCACCACCCAATTTAGATCACTTTAACAAAAAGCCATTCTCACTTCTTTCCTGTTATAATCTACAAAGATAACATGTAGACATAATTCCCTCGAAAGTAAATAATAAGCCATGAAAAGACTTCCCTACAAGGTCTCTCTTTCCCACCACACACCATTACTGAATTGGATTTCCATAGTACTTTTTTGTCCAATAAAAAAGTGCAACATATTTCAAGCACATCCTAGGATAAATAAAATATATTTTTTAAAAACAAAGAATGGGATAAACAACTACATCTGTCTTATAAAACCATTAATCTTTAGTGACAAGACATACTGCTTTTGAGTCTACAAAGGAACACTGGAATCGTATGACATAATTATAATACATGATAGCCAGGCAGGCTTGGTAATCTTGGATTGGTCTCTTGTAGATGAGATGTTAAGTCCAGTTCTTAATCTCTGTTGTTTTCCTTCAAAAATTCTTAAAAATCTGTCTGGGATTTACTTCAAATTAAGCCAGTGAGAAAAGGGGGCATCAAAATAAACCAATGAGGCAGGTTGGTGAAAGCAGGAGTGAGGAAGAGTAAAAATGGAACAAAATTGGCCATAAGGTGATGATTGCTGAAGCTGGGTAATGGCTATATGGGGGTTCATTATATTGTATGTGGTTGAAGATATTTTACAATAAAAGTTATCTGTCATACTACATCTATCATACATATCTTTAAGGGAAGGCCAAGGTTCAAACCGGTGGTTGTCCTGTATGAGATGTGAATTGGAGAGGTCTACCTGAATAATTCTAAATATTTTCCTTTCCATCATGGTATAGGCCACATAGAAGTGACAATCAGACAAATCCATCTGCACATAATGACCCTAATGACCCTGAACTGTCCTGGAAAAGTGCCTTTTTTTCCCTTTTTGTAACATGGGCTGAATTCTTATGTGTTCTATCTTGGCTGTTTTTTTTTTTTGTTTGTAACATGGGGTGAATTCTTATGTGTCTATCTTGGCTGTTTTCTAGGCCCAATGTATAAGAAAGAAAATCCATTTGCTTTTCTCCAGCACCACTGTAACCACGAACAACTGGAATAACCTCTTCACATGGCTGCTTGCTTCCTTTGTTCCCTGTACAATACATTCCTCACACAGCCTCTACAGTGATCTTCAAAACGTAAATCACATCATATCACTCCTTTCCTTAAAACCCTCCAATGACTTCCCATTTCAAATTCTCACATGTCTCATCCCTTATAAGTCTCCCTTCACCATGATCCAGCCAAAGCTGGTACCATTTCAGGTTGTTCACATTTGCATGTGTGTTTCTTTGCCTTGAATGCTCTTGCACTCGCACAAGATTTTCATGACTGGTTCTTTCCTGCCACTTATGTCTCAGCTCAAATGCCAAGTCCTCAGTATGGATCTCCTCTATGTACTCACCCATAGATATTTGTTTAAGCAAAGTTGGCAAAGTGTACGGGAATTACACTGGGGGGTTTGTCTAACACCTTACTATTTCTATGGTGGTAACACATTGGGGGGCTTGCTAGAAATGCAGAATTGTAGGCCCCGGCCTACATCTACAGAATTAGTATATTTTAACAAGATCCCTAGAGGAACTCTATAGAATTAAAGCTTAAAGCACCGGTCTAACATGTAATGGCTAATAGATTCTTTCTTTTTCTCTTAGTGATCATTAAAGAATAACCCAATTGACAAAGAGTCTTAGCAATAGTGCTATATATTATATCCAGGTACATGGATTCTACTGAATGCTGACTAGTTTGAATACAGCACGTTATTTTTACGCTCATTTGCAGAAATATTTCCCAAATACTTGATTTAATACTTTTCCTTTTGAATGTATATTGGTCTACTGGGAATATAATTAGATTCACTTTTCAGGATTGTGTTACTTAAGCAGGTTAAGAATTTTTAGTTTTCTCTGTAATACTAAGTCTCAAGTCTTAAGATGGGCAACTTTAAAGCATTCCATCACGGTTTTAGCAAAAACACAAAATTTTGAGGAATAATCATGCCATAGTCATCATAATTGTTTAAATTCCTAGCTCATGTTGTTAATGCACAAAATCCTACAAGACGCTAAACTGCAGACAAAATTGCCTAAGAGCAATTTTAAGTGAAGTCTTTTAATGAGGGACACTGCAACACAACTTTAAAATAAACTCATAAAACCCTGAAGTGCAATAAATGCTTTTTATTGTATGCTCATTTCAATGAGTAACATTTAGAAATAATAATCCCACGTAACAGTGACAATCTTATTTTACAGCGTGTACATCATTTACAATCACATGACACACAATTTTAGATTTCCAAATTTAATATTCTGAAGTTAAGAAAGATAAAAAATTTATTCTCAAGGAACTGATTCCTATCTGGTGCAAAAACAGAAAGGTGAACATTATTTAAAACACAAAGCCACAATATAGCATGAAGTAAAATTACATTTTAATTATGTTTAACAGCTGAGTGTAAACATGAAGCAACTAAAACTTAAAAATACACATCATATGCATTACATTTATGAACAGGATTTTCATTAAATTTCCCTAAACCTGCTTTTTATTTTAAGCGCCATGTTGATTTGCAGCATGCTAACATGAAGCATTGTTAAAGGGATGCATATTTTAAATTTATACACTGTAAACAGAATATCCACCTCCAAGCTCTATTGGCAGCATAGTTTTTGTTAAATACCGCATAAATACTGCCCCATATTGAAAATTCATGTTAATAATATGGTATATAGATTTTAAAAATCAAAATTTTCAATAATGGCATAAAATTGCACCTTTAAACAATAGAGCAAGTAAGACTAGAACAATCATACTTGCTATGACTGTCCTAAAAAAACCTCTAAACATAATATTTAAGAAAACTGTGTTCTCTCAATTTAATCTTTACATTAAGAAATATAGTGCTAACTTTGCAACATTACTGTTGCATCCATTTTAGAAAGCCACATTTGACTCAAATATACTTCTGTCATATATGCCACACTGAACAACAATCAACTTGAACATCAGAAAAAGGGGAACTTTAATCTTTAGACTTCAGTACAGAATGCTATATTTTAAACATCCTATCCTGTGTTAAAATCTTAGCAGCTCTGAAATTCTTTTAAATAGTATTGAATTAATCTAACCTGTTTTCCAGTGAAATTTCATTTGATGAATACACAAAACTTTTGCCATTTCTGGAATTCAATTTCCGGGTACCATATAAAGGCTCAATGACTAAGTGACTAATGGATGACTGCATTTTATTTCCCCACTCCATTTCTAAAACGGCATAAAAGTGACTGCTTGCAATAGCAAAGCATTGCTAAACTCCTCAATTAGATATGATCTTTTCAGAAACATCTGTCTCTAGTATGATCAGCCAAATAAAGTGGTTGTCTTTGCTCTTCCCCTCTGTAGCTGAATTATGCTTATAATACTATTAAATAGACAATAAGTTTTTCTGCAACCATTCTATGGTGCTCTTTAAATTCTTTAACTAATTTCCAAGGGCTATGAGATCCCCTCTCAATTCAAATATCTTAAGATCTTTAGTAAAAAGAATGTAAATTTATGATTTAATATCAAGCTTTGTAAACAGGTGAAACAGTTCATGAAATTATCTTTCCATGTATCATGTCATATTTTCTAAATAGCTTCTTTCTTTATATTGATCTTATGACATAAGAGCCTCCTTGTGGTGCCTCATAATATGCTGATTTTTTTCTGATGGTCTTCGGAATCCCTTCTTGCAGAATTCACACCTGTGTGGATAGTCTTTTGTATGTATTGATATCACATGCCGTTTAAAGCCAGATGCATCTGTAGTGCTGTATTCACAATACTCACATTGGTAAATCTTCCTTCCAGTGTGAGTCTTCATATGCTTTTTGAGCTCATTTTGTTGTCTGAACCCTCTTTTGCACCTTTTACACTTCAATGACTGATCCTTAGTATGAACTGAAAGGATATGACCACTAAGAATAAATGGATCTGATGTTTTAAAGTCACAGTGCCTACACTGATGAATCTTCCTACCCTTATGGATATCACTATGCTTTTTGAGCTCAGAAGGACGATGGAAACCTTTATCACAGACCTCACATTTGTGAGGAAAATCCTTAGTGTGGACAGATATGATGTGCCGCTTAAGGTCACTTGAGTTGGTGCTCTTATGGTCACAATGAGGACACTGGTGTGTCTTATGTCCTTGAAACAAATCCAGATGGCGTTGAAGTTCCCTCTCATCACCAAATGCTTGGGGACAATGCTCACATTTATATGGCAAATTGTTACCATGCTTAGACTTAATGTGAGTTTTCAAATTTGATTGATCTGCACACCTGAAGACACAATACTGACATTGATATGGCTTCTCACCAGTATGGGTTCTCATATGCTTCTTGAGTTCAGAAGGATGTCGAAAGCCCTTCCCACACTCAACACAAACATGAGGAAAATTCTTGCTGTGAACAGCCAGTAAATGTCGGTTTAACAGTCCTTGTTCTGCAGTTTCATAGTCGCAGTATTTGCACTTGTGCATCTTCGGCTCCTTGTCTCTTAATATAAGTTTATTTGAACTCAGTGGACTAGCCTCTCTGTATCTTCGTGTGTATTCTGTAAATTCATGGGTTTTGTCAACTTTGTTTATAAGCTTATGGCTTTCTAAGTGGTTATGGAAACTCACTTTCTTGTTCGTTGTAAAGTCACAATCTGTACACTGATATTTTTTTCTCATCAAATGATCAGGATGATTCTTCATGTGTCTTTTCAAGAATCCCCTGGATTTAAACTTTTTCGTGCAAATATGGCAAGGGTATACTGTCAGGGGCTGTCCATCAGGGCCTATTATAACAGCTAGATTAAAAAACAACAACAACAACAAAAAACAAAACAGGGAAGTTGTGAAATTTGGCCAGACTGTTTTAAACAGTTTTACCACAAAGGCGGCAAAATTAGCTGACATTCACAATGTGAGAACTGTACTAGTAGAATAAAATCCTGTAAGATAAAATGCACATTGAAAGCAATTTATAATAAAGTAGCTCACTAAAAAGTAATGAGCAGCGCTCTACTATAGACTATTCACCTGCCAAAATGCTATATCACATGCACTTTGTAAACTAGAAATAGGCACCCTTTATTGTTAAACCAACCTGAAAATTCTCTTTAAAAACATCATTTGGGTAAAAAGCAAACAAGCACAGTTTTATTAAGTACCAGTAGAACATTTAAAAAAACCCAACTATTTAGATCAAACACAAGTAGGTACATGGGAGTAGGACTAACTACACTACAAACAACTGGCATATTCTTGGGTTACAAAAAATACTACTGCATTTCAAGTAATTATAATATTCATCGAGTAATGTATTAGTATTTTACCTGTTTGCCACTGCCTCATTTCTCCCCTTCTCCTCTTCTTAGTTTTTTGTTTAAGTACTTTATTTGTATTAATGCTATCACAAATTTGAAGGTATTGTGCTGCTGTACTACTTCTGTTTTCTAATGTTGAGTCCAAAGTATTTCCTGGAAAGAAAATCGATACACTATTAAACTACATATATTTATACTTTTTTGGTTTTAGTTAGATGAATTAGAGAAGACATGGCATTCAGTTGCCATTGCAGTACTAAATTTCACAAAGTACACCCATCTTCTCCTTCTCTTTTATACTCTTACACACACATGTGTATATGCAAATACTTTAAATATGATACCATGTGGAAGTAACTTTAAAATATCCCAATTTATTCATCCTAAAGGAACAAACTGATAAGGTGAATGAAACATAAGAAACTGAATTTTATGACCCTAAACAAAATCTTGACATCAGATCAATTTCTCATTGATGAAGGCTGATGAAATTAAAGAGATTTAGCAAAGAAATTTACACATGTCAGTTATCCAATACAATCATGGTAACTGTAATACATGACAAACAACAGATTTCTTGTACTTATGCTTTAGAATAGTTTACTTAATGTTAAAAGTATTAAGATTGATTTTTTTAAGTGTTAAGATAAATGTGGCAGGCAATCTACTGCAATTTCAGTGGGATAAGTGTATATGGAATAAAGTACTTAATAAAATTTCAGTTCTCACAATCTCTTGTGTTATGCAATCTAGTTTAAAAATGTAGCCCTAAGAAACTGTTTAGCTTAAATGCTGTGATATATATGCCTCGCATTAATTCCCCTGAAATCTACAGTTAGTCAAATACCTCCTAAAGATAGAAACAAAATAGACACTTTATCATAAGAAAAAGTCTCCTTGTGTAAGAAAAGAAGAAGAACTATCAACCATGGAAAAAATAACACTATATGAAGTGTATTAAAACTAAAAAAAATTTACGCTGACACATGAGCTTTATGTAACAGCTATATAAATCTACTGGTTGCCATAGAAATTTAAAAAATAGTTCCATCCCAAGGAAGACATTAACAAGTGGTTGATATCATGGGCAACTTTTACTTTCATGTCAGAATAATTTCTATTTTATAATTTTTTCCATAGTAACTTTTTTATGGCCCATGTAGTAAGTGGCCTGATATTTGTATCTTGAGGTAAATCTATTTTTTTTAATTTTAATTTTTTATTTTTTGGCCATGCCGTGTGGCATATGGGATTTTAGTTCCCCAACCAGGGATCAAACCCGTGCTCCCCTGCAGTGGAAGGGCAGTCTTAACCACTGGACCACCAGGGAAATCGCGAGGTAAATCTAAAATGAACTGCATTCACAGAATAACACACGCTATGTCTCTATATAAATTAATCAATTTCCCAAAGAGCTAAACTCTTCTAACTAACTAGATATGACCAGGCAAGTAAGAGTCTAACAAATGGGTCTGTACACACAAACTAATAACTCTGTATCTACCAAGCAGTACACAAAACCAGCTACTTAACTTACATCTCACATATAATGCTCTCTCACCTGATGACTGACAATCTTCATACCTTCGAGAAACTCTTCTTTCATCTCCTTAAAAAAAAAAGACTAATTAAAAACTGATAGACTGAGTATAATGATTCCTAGTAGATCACATCTTAATCTACAAAATCTTACTTTGATCACCGTTCCTTGGATTAAACTTTTTTGTTGTTGTTGAGTTCTTCCACTCCCATAGATTAGACAATATCACACACTGAAAATAAGGGCTGCTGCCAGCATCCTTCAAACTACTAACATCTAGGACAACCTTACTTTTCAAATAAAACCTGGGTAGATATTTCTGCAGAATACCCTCAAAATTGAAGATGCTCAATAAATGACTGTTGAATGAATGAACCTTTGGAAAAACCAAGTAAAGACAAATTAATGCATTTGAACAACAAAATTTTTCAAAGTAAAGAGTATACCTGGACCATCTTGTAAATTAAGTAAGAATGAAATAAAATAGAAAGGGAAAAAATAACTTGATAAATTTACCTTTCATTACGTACTTCCTAGAAGAGCACACTTGGATTTCTGTTCCTTTTCAAAACCCCAATATCTTATTATTTGTGGTGTTAAAACATAAAATAAGTTTTTCCAAAAGGGGAAGGATCAATTTTCAAAGGATATTCCTATTTTAGAAAAATAAAACTTTTTATGGCACTCACTTATACATGTAGGATTTAAAATAAATCCTACTGAAAAACAAAATGCATTAAGCAAGGTTCATTGTAAATAACACAAGATATGTGGTACAAAAATTATGTAAGTAACTAGAGATGAATCAGTCCACAGCAAAACATTTTATAGTATTAGCCAACTCATGGGGCCATTAGCACAGCATATTTAATGACCTAAAGGCTGATCAAATAGATATGTTATGTACTTATCAGGTGAAAAAATGCCAGTGTCCTACCATATGTCGCAGCCCAGACAACAGGGACAATTGTTTTATTAACATCAGAGTCCTCAAGCTGAGTCTCAGGGAGAGAAGTTCCTTCCTCTTCCCCTACAATGACTTCCATGTAAACTTCATCTGCTATTTCAGCGCAACCTAAATTTTAGAAATAATTGCTTGTTTATAACCCCAAGTATTTAATAAATGGGTAAAAATTTCCAAACGATTATCTTTCAACTTTCAAGATTTCAATTTGGTTAATTTAAAAATTACATTAGGCACTTCACAGGCTGGTGCCACTAGGAGACAGTAATTTATCAAAGTTCTTATCTTCCTCTTAAAACCTAGTCCTACGAAAATGACTTCTAGATTATATAAAACGTGCGCTTGAAATATATTGACTGATTTCACAGTCCATTGGGCATTAGGAATTTATAAGAAGAGCTGTATTCCATAACTGCCTGATAGTTCTTCAGAACTCAGAAGGCATTTCCCATAGAATCAGTACTAGAAAGTGGTCCATGCTATCCCACATGTAAATTAAATGCAGTACTGTACATGCAATGAAAAATTGTCAAAAACACTAGTAATTGAAAAAGAATTAAAAATGAAAGTAAAACCATAATATATGGTTAAAATATAAAATGCTGGTGGCTCAAGGCTATGTGGACACCCATTAAGAGGCAGGATTTTCAGAGACCCTACTGAAGACAAAAGTGTTGAGACATTTAAAAAAACATAGTATTAGTGTAAAAGAATTTAAACCTAGAAGGTCAGTAAGTATATTTTATGTGAAATAATCCATTTGGATTTAACGTGTTAAGTAGAAAATTGGCTTGAATTTATGCTTTTCCTTTGATTCACATACTGGGATTTTCTACTAATTTTTTTTTTCTTTTTTTGGCTGCACTGAGAGGTGTGGCATGCGAAACTTCCCCAACCAGGGCTCAAAACCATGCCCCCTGCAGTGGACGCATGGAGTCTTAACAACTGGACCACTAGGGAAGTCCCTACTCACTACTGAAAAATGTGGAAAAAATGTGGGAAAAAAGTATCCCTTTTCTCCTAGGTTTCCCTTCTTTCAATTAACCAGAAGGAAACATTGGTCTAAGCTTTGCACATCCCTATGGAATTCTGGCATCAGCTAACCTAACCTTCAGTCTCCTGACCAATGAGTAAAACAGAAAAGAAAGAATCTAGAGACCAAATAGAAATTAATTCTTTTTCTCTCTAACCAAATCTTCTAGACTCATTTGTTTTGACATTTTCAGCTGTGGTATATTATTCATGTTTGTTTGGGATTGGAATTCAGCTCCCTATGACTTCTAGGGGAGGAAATTTGAGGAGTGGGGATCATAGTGCAGTATAGGTAAAGCTAACTATTATCAAGGTAATGCACTGAAGTGGAGGCTCTTGCTCTTCTAGGGCAAAACAAAGTAGTTTTTGTCTCAGCATGGCAAGAAGACAGAAAAAGCCTTAAGGAAGGGCTGCATTCCTACACTGAGGTGAGGAGAAAGTAGGAAGAAAGTAAAACATCTTCATAAGGAAATGTGTACCATGGTAGGAAAGGAAATGTGAGGAGCTTTTTACTCCCTGTGGTACTCAGCTACAAGAAACCGTAAACAGCAACTACTTGGAGACCATCAATGGCATAATAAGTAAAAATCCTGGTGGCTTGACTTGGAAGAATACTTACTCAGCTAATCTCTCAGTGGCAGAAGGAAAACAAACAGCTAGCCCTTCTACTGCTAAATTCAGAGAGAGGTCAACAGTGCTCACTGCCATGTACAAAGATCACTGACAGCAGAGTTAGGCAGACATGAGTTCAAATCCTATCTTCCTCATTTAATACTGGAATGGCCTTGGGCAACTGCTTAATTTCCCTGAGCACTTTCTCCTTCCATAAAACAGGGCTAATACCACCTACCTCAGAGATGAATTATGAGAATTAAATGAGATAATATATATGCAACATATTCAATAACACATACAAAGTAGATTCTCAGTAATTCCCTACATATTTGTGGGCTCTCCTAAAGTCAGGAACCATATTTAGCTGATCTCTGTATCCCTAGTATCTCAGCCACAGTATTTTATGTTTGCTCATTTGAACAATACATGCATGCACGGATAGTCAAAAGGACCCTTTTCCTTTAAATTAATTATAGCGAAGGGTCAGACTGAACTTTGTTCCTATGTAGTGCTTGAATATGAGATTTTTTTTTTAAGAATGCATGATGACTACTGATAAGTCACTACAGTGCCTTTTTTTTCTTACTGATATCATCTTCTTCTTGAGAAGAATCTTTAACTGCCATGTAAACCATCTTCTCCCGCTGTATTCGGCTCTGGTCAAGCACTCCAGCTACAGAATGCCCATTGGTGTACTCACTCTCTGTGACAATTTCCGTTCCACCTTAAAAGTTAAAACATGTATCAAAATCAGTAAGTATCATGCAATAATTCCCTAAATTAATAAGAAGGATACATAAAAATATTTTCCTTTAGAAAAATATTCCCCCTCAAATATTCAAACATAAATTTCTAAGTGTCAAGAGAATTTTCTTATAAATTGCACTTTAAATTTTCAGTCATCACTAAGAAATAACAACAAATGTTAACACTTACATTACACTTGTATATGCCAAGCACTATTTAAGTCTTCTACATGTATTTACCCATTTAATCCTCACAATAGCATTATAAGGTAGTTACTACCATTATGGCCATTTTATGGATGAGGAAACTGAGGCAGAAGAAGGTTAAGTAATTCACCAAAGGCCACTCAGCTAAATGGAAGAACTAGGATTAAAATCCAAAGCACCCTGCCTCTAGCCTGCCCTTAAATACTCATAATTTCCTACTCTAAACCAAATCCCCTCCACTCATATGTTTTGAAATTTCAACTGGAATCTTCTACTCAAGTTTAAAATATCTAAGATGACTTGTTCTCTATCCCTGCTTTATATTTATATATAATTTTTAAATATTCCATCCCCAAAGAAACCTTTTATAAGAGTTGCACTTTGAAGGCAATATTAGGACTTAGTCTCCAGAAAAGAGAAGTTCTAATTCCTAACCATTATAGCAATAAATTAAAATTATTATTTGTACCTATTTCAACATCATCTTCAGCCTCAGCTTTAAATATATACACTTTTATTACTTCTGAACCAAATCCATCTTCTTTAACATCTTCTTGTGAACCATCACTGCTGATTTTTAATGGTGTGTTCCCCATATGCTCTAATTTTTCCCCAACATCATCCACTGTAAAATATAAACAGGAAACTGTTTCAGTCAAAAAGTACCATTGACATTTAGTTGGTGTTAAGTATTAGTGCAATGTGAAATAATGTGTTAACCACCTACCCACTATATTCAATTAATGACCTATTATGCAACCATTAAGAGTGGTATATTTCATGAAAAAAAGTATACAAGACAGATATACTACATAGTCATAATTATATAAAAGACATAATCACAGATTTCAATTTATGTATATGAAATACTCTTAACCATACAGCTTTAATTAAAGTGGTTTGGGAAAAGATTAAATAATCTTCCATTACATTCAACATTTTAAGATAAATCCTAACACCAAAATTAATAACAAAAATTAGAACATAAAATATAGAGTACTCATGAAATTAGCTGACATAAACAATTCCCAAATTAAATAGCAGTATATCTAAAACCAATTAACATATGAAATCTAGTATTTAAAAAAAGAGAAAACAGAAAACACCTGAATTATTTTATAAAAAGGGCTTTTCAGAAATCATAAAAATAAAATCTTAGTAAATATTTTTAATTCTTGTTGAGTCAATGGAAGGCTACTTCAAATCAGAAATTTTGTATATTTCCAGGTTTACCATTGTATGATTTGCTTCAAATCATATATAAAATGAAGCAACAATAATTACTTACATTTTAAATATACTTACAAATTTGATTCTTTAAGAACAGCATTTAGTTTCAAGTGAATACTGTACAAAAACTATGCAATGAATACATTATATTCATAAAGTTTGCTCTTTGGACATAAATATTAAACAATATACTCCCCCAAAGATTATATGCCTACCATTTTTTATTTCAATGCTTGTCCTGTCCCCATAAAAACTGAAATGTAACCTAAACTGAAAATCTGCTCCTCCCTACTATATGTATCATAGTATCATATATGAAATAAAATCATGAAGCCTTGACTATATCTAAACAATTCCAGAGCTACTGAAAACAGAATAAAGTGACATTAAAAAGTTTTTAACTCAGTACTCTTAAAATATGAATTTCAGTAAGATCTAAATGGGTCAAAGTCTAGATTTTCTCTACCTCAGTTTCAAATTTGATACATGCAAATTCAAAAATATTCCTTTGACCTTTCAAAATGGTGAAAACACCAGAATTTCAGAAATTCTTCTTACAATGTAAAACTACTTTAACTTTGTGGTTAAATATAAATGATTCCACATTATTTAAGAGTTCAAATAGTTTATTGTCTATGAAAGAGAGTACCTAAATGATCAAAATAAACAGAAAAAAATATTTTCATTTCATCATAAACCCTAATTCTGTTAGTACTTTTTTGGCAAATATTTTTTTCACAATGGGACAGATTAAAATGAAAGAAAAAAGGATGAGGAAGAATCTGATATTACTGGTTTTAACAGCCTCTCTTTTAAAATACGTTGAATAAAACAATGAGATCATTAAAAAAATTAAGAGGCAAGTTAAGTCTTCAGAGAAAAAGTACTTTCTCATTCTTGGAAATAAAGACATAGGATATAAAACACTCAAAAAGTGTCCAGGGCTTCCCTGGTGGCGCAGTGGTTGAGAGTCCGCCTGCCGATGCAGGGGACATGGGTTCGTGCCCCGGTCCGGGAAGATCCCGCGTGCCGCGGAGCGGCTGGGCCCGTGAGCCATGGCCGCTGAGCCTGCGCGTCCGGAGCCTGTGCTCCGCAACGGGAGAGGCCACAACAGTGAGAGGCCCGCATACCGAAAAAAAAAAAAAAAAATTGTCCAAAATATGAATTTCTTAGGTTGGACTAACAGTAAATTAATGAAAAAAATACTCTCATCTGATAAATACTACTTTATTACACTTCAATGGTTAAAAGTAAACAGAGTTCCTCCTGAGATAAACTGAATTAAAACTGTAATTCACAAAACTAAAGCTCATGAAATGAAATAGACATTTCTCAAAAGTTTTGTACCATAATTTTTGCTTTAAGTATTGAAATTACTGGTGTTATTCTGATTCCATTTATACCTTTCCTTGAGGTCCACAGTTTAATGTATCCATTATTTTCTACTTAATTAGATTCCTCAGAATGAACAATTTTGAAATGTATTGAGTAATTAAACTTGTTCTGTATTTTAAGTTCATAGAAGATGATAAAGTTATTAAATATGTTAGTGTACAGTTTTAAGAGATAAACCATCAACTTCACCAAGATTTATTCTATATCCTTTGTTATAGAAAGTACAAAGTTAACAAAGATTTAACAGGTAATCAACAGATTTTAGAAATAGATCCTCAAAGACTCTTCTTTACACAGATAATACTCAAAATACCCCAAATTCAAGCTTAACCTTTTTGTTATAAGGCTTACAACATTCAAGTCCCACGGTGTTGTTTCCCAACCCACATGACATGCCAGCCAGTGATAAGTGGGTAATATTATATAAAACGCAGAATTCTACTGGTGCTAAATATAACATTAAAGCAGTAAGGTGCGGGGGGTGGGATGAATTGGGAGATTGGTATTGACATATATACACTACTATGTATAAAATAGATAACTAATGAGAACCTACTGTATAGCACAGGGAACTCTACTCAGTGCTCTGTGGTGACCTAAATGGGAAGGAAATCTAAAAAAGAGGGGATATAGGTATACGTATAACTGATTCACTCTACTGTACAGCAGAAACTAACACAACATTGTAAAGCAACTATACTCCAATAAAAATTAAAAAAAAAAACAGTAAGGTGCATTATTTGCCAACCCTACAAAGTTTGCTATCGTTCAATATTCTTCTATAGCCCATTGGTACAATTTGATTAAAATTTCATTTTAGCAAAATGTACAGTATAATATTTCTTTTAAAATCTAAGTAGGCTTTTTACTGTACCCCTTTCATGTTACATCTACCAAAATTATATGGTGAATATGACATCAGTATAGACTACAGCTGACCGTTGAACAATGCAGGGCTTAGGGGCACTGACTCTCCACATAGTCGAAAATCCATGTATACCTTTACAGTTGCCCCTCCGTATCCGTAGTTCTGCATCTGCAGACTCAATTAACCTCAGATTATGTAATACTGTAGTATATATTTATTGAAAAATATCTTTGTATTAGTGGACCCACACAGTTCAAACCTGTGTTGTTCAAGGGTCAACTCTATATTGATGTACCACAGGGATGGGGTGAGGCAATGTGTAATGGATCCGTATTATGCAATGATGAAACAAACAAAAATTAGTAATATTTAAATTACAAAGGTATTCCATTCCCAGCTGTATATATCCAAGACATCTGAAAACGTATGTGCACAAAAACTTGTACATGAATGTTCAGAGCAGCATTATTCATAACAGCCAAAAAGTGGAAACAACCTAAATGTCCATCGACTGATGAACTAATAAACTGTATATACATATAATGAAATATTACTCATTAATGAAAATGAATGAAGGACTGATGCATGCTACAACATGGATGATCCTTGAAAGCATTATGCTAAGAGAAAGAAGCCAGACACAAAAGGCCATATATTATATGATTCCATTTACATGAAATGTTAAGAACCGGCAAATTATAGAGAAAGAATTTGGATTAGTGGTTGCCTGAGGGGTGAATGGAGTGGCAGGGGTGATTGCTCAAGGGTATGGGGGTTTCTTTTGGGGGGAAGAAAAATTCTAGAATTGATTATGGTGATAGTGATACAATTCTGTGAATATATGAAAAAACACTGAATTGCACACCTTTAATCAGTGAATTGTATGGCATGTGAATTATATCTCAATAAAGCTATTATACTAAAAAAAAATACAAAGGTGTTAACTTTTCTCTTTTACCCCTGAAATTGGTGAGGTTTCATGACCGCTCCCATAATGACTCTACCAATATGTTTTGCTTTATACAAAATTATTTTCCTGGAAGAAATAAAAACTGATTTTATAGGTAAAAAAATAATTTGAATGCATTATATTGGTTCATTATTTAAAGGAACCTCCCTTCTCTGGTGAAGCTTTACATAAAGCAAATCATCACCCAGAAACGTTTTGAGGGTGGTAGGTATTTTTAAAGAAAAGCACACCTGGGATAACTTTAGACAGATACAGTTATCCTATATTAATTTCCAAGTTACTTAGCACAAGTGGAAGAGCCTAACCAACTGCTAAGATAAAGAAATTGTGACATTTGGTCTGAAAGTGGAAAAATCTCAGATGCACCTCAGAGACTGAGAGAAGACAAACTCAGCTGCTGATAAGATTTCCTTACAGGAATAGTTAGGGATTTAGGAATAAGATAACAGTCTGTTTTAAGTCCTCAATTTTATCCCTTGAGTAGTTTGAAGATACCTTGGAAAAAAAACAGAGGACTTTTAAAATTACCATTGAGACATTTCAAGGCAATTTATTCTCTAACTCCTGAAAGATTCAATGGTCTACAGAAACCAAGAGGTAAAAAAATGAATTAAAGATTAAGCGATGAAGAAAAAAAGGGAAAAACTAAATAAAATAAAATAAATGAAAATGGTTAAAAAGAGTAACTAGTCTACATTTGAATATTCTAACCATTATAAAAAGTTAGGGATCTGGTTGGCAAGAGAATGAATGATATAAAAAATATTTAATTTTTGTATATTCTATTTTCTAAAATAAAAAAATTATTTAAGTTTTAAAGGGATTTTTTAAATAAAGGAATGACTTCAAATTTTATAAAGAATAGACCCACTTCTTCCTCAAGTTCCATCAATAACTTATCATGAGATTTTTATTATTGTTGCTGTTCAGGCAAACTTACCACTTAAAATGAGAATAAGATATTTCTATCTTCCTCATTCAGATAGAATGTCTTAAGGACATCGTAAAGCAGTCTGAAATAAATATGTTTAAAGTATTTTTGCATGGACTATACAGACACATATATAGACAACAGAAAACAAACACAGGCAGAACTGTAGAACACAATCTGAGTTGATTATTTACTTTTCAAGTATTTAATTCAAAAAACTAATCACACATTTCTTAACATACTATGCTTAAACTCCTAAGCAAAACTGAACTGACAACTCCAGTACCTGTCATATTAAAAAGAAAGCAGTGGTTGCATGAAATAAACTTCCATTTTGAAATATATATATTTACCATTAAAATATTGTGTCACTTAATGTTCTTTTTGAACCTTCCAAATCTGTATTTTTGTTCTAAGATATTAATAAATTGCATTATTTTACTCCATTGTGGGTATAAATTTTCATAAATTAAAAACATGAACAAATTCAAAAAGGCATCTCAACAACACAGCTTTGAAAAAAATTATTTTTCAAAAAGATCACCCCCATGACTTTTATTGAATAGATCCCCATCCTAGAAAACTTGTCTGTGTTATACATAAATCAGTTTCTACCAAGTAATTATGGACTTTAAGTTTCACTTACAAGATATCATTAAGTAGTCTTCAGAAGTGCTCTTGACATCATCATCATCATCATCATCATCATCATCATCATCATCTTCAGTTTTAATAGTAACTGTAGAACCAGGAACACCGCCAGCTGCTTGAATCATAGTTTCTGTATCTGAATTAGTTACAAGAACCTCCTCTGACACCATTGTGGGAGAGTCAACTCCTGAGACACAATCTTGGACCACATGTTCTAAGTGTCCATCAGGACCAGTAACAAGGTCAGCCACAAAAACCTGCTCAGGTACTCTAACAGTTTCTGTAATTAGCTCAGACGTCAAGATGTGATCACCGTCATCTTCCTCTAAATCTTCTTCAATAGCAACATCAGCCTCAAGCACGGCTTCAGGAACAATTACACCTTCTGTTACTACATCAGTCTCGGTGATGATATCAGGCCCATGGACAACTTCAGCTGCGAGGCCATGATCAAGAGTTATCCCATCATCTGTGACAACATCAGAAACTAATACAGCCTCAGGAACTGAAACAACAATATGGTCTCCATCGATATGCGCAGTACCAGCCATTCCAGCCACTACAATACAAACAATTATCCAAAAAAAGTAAAGTTATTTTATTAATTAAAAGTACTGTATGTATATATCAGATGACATAAAATAGATTTTAAATATGAAACAGTCCTGGGCAAACTATCATTTTAAAGAACCACTGACAATTTAACTGTAATAAAAATCATCACCAACCAGGAACTGGGGTGGAGATGGGTGAAAACGATATTAGTAAAATCTAAATTAAGACCTTAAAAATAATGTACTTTATTTTTAAGTAAAAAACAAAGCTACAATGAGATATCACTACACACCAACTAGAATAACTAAAATAAAAAACAATAACACCACAGGTTGGTGATGATGCAGAGAAACTGGATCTCTCATATGTGATGGCAGCAGCCACTCTGGAAAATAATTTGCCCAGTTTCTTATAAAAACATGTGCTTACCAATACAACCTAACAACTGTACTCTGTGGCATTTCTCCCACAGATATTAAAATGTTTACACAAAAAACTGTACATAAATATCCATAACACTGCATAGTACCTATTATTCCTAGTAGCAAAAAACAAAAACAAAAATACAACAACTCAAATGTCCTTTAGCAGGTAAATGGTTGGTTAAGCCAACTCTGGCACATCCTTACTATGCAATACTACTCAGAAATAAAGAAAGGGACAAAACTACTGATACATTCAACAACCTGAATCAACTGCTAGAAAATTATGCTGCGTGAAAAAAGTCAATTACCAAAGGTTACTGTACTGTATAATGTATAAATGGAATCATTTATATAACATTCTCAAAATTCTAAAGCTATAGAGATGGAGAACAGATTAGCAGTTGCCAAGGGTTGGGGTGTGTGTGACTATTTTGGCATAGCATATATATGGTGATGGAGTCATTCTATTTCTTCATTGGGGTGGTGTCTACACAAATCTATATAGGAAATAAAACTGCATAGAACTATATACACTCTCACACACACAAATGGTGAAAACTGAATGAGATCTGTAGTCCCATTAACAGTAATGTACCAATGTTAATTTCCTGCTTTTGATACTGTACTACAGTTATTATAAAGATGTCACCATTGGAGGAAGATGAGTAAAGGGTATACAGGACCCTATATACTATTTTTTCTACTTCCTGTGAGTCTAACATTTCAAAAAATTAAAATTAAAATAAAAGGGACACACAAACATAAAAGGTTGCTAATATGTTAAATTGAGTTAATAAAATATGACAAGCTTAATACGTTAGAAAATACATATTATAAACATAAAAGTCCCTGAACTTCTTTATTGTACAAGAATTACTATATTCAAAAATGGAAAGCATCCTTTAACATCTGATTTGAGGAGAAAGAAAAAACAACTCATTTTAGGCAAAGATTTGGTTTATTTAAAAAACATACATACAAACTCTAAATTGCATTAAATTCTAAATTAGTAAATCTGCAGGAATAAAGTTTTAAATAACATTTTTCTTGAGCAGCACGGTAAACACCAACTCCTACCCCCCCTTGTAAATACTGTAAGAGTGTAAAATTCCTTCATGAGTAATTCTGTTACATTCTCTCTGAGGTGGTATAGTAAACAAATTAACAGAGTTTGTGGACCAGGTTACAACAAAATTACCTACATGAAATAATCCAGTACAAAGCCTTTTCTTCATAATGATCACTTTCTATACGGTAATACCTGAAAGAGTACCATTTGTTACACACTGTTCACTATTATTAACCAATTCATTATGGAAGTTTATGTTAGCAAGTTAGGATGGAGACCAGTAAACACTACTAATACCCTAACACATCAAAAAATAAGGTGAGAAGGGAAAAGCTGCCTTTCAGGATTACCTTCCTTTCAACCCTTCTGTAGCCTTCTCACTATTCTCAAACTCTCACCTAAACCACCATATTACCCAAAAGGACACAGCCTCAACCTTGAAAATCTAGTAGACAAAGGGAGTACGTATAGAACAAGTACTTTCTATTCACTTGTTACTCCACCGGCCATTTTTGGAGACAGGGAGAAGGTGAGGGTTCAAATTTAGTATTCAACCAGACTGGAAATATGGTTTTTAGCAGGGAAAAATTAAATGTTAACCCTATAAAATTCACAGTATTGCAATTCTATGTATATGAACAATGAAATTACTATTTTATAAAATCTTTTCATAAGTTAGACTTAAAATATGGGAAATCCCATTTATTTTAGAACATTGCTGGAGAGAAGTTTGGTTTCTGAGAGTAGACACTAGGGAAGGATGGAAGGATAGAATAATGCTAGTGCTGGCTTGGGTTCAGATTAACCTGTTTGGGAGGATTCTAAGAAGAAGGAATAAGTGTTTTTCAGTTTACCTAGTCTTTAGCAGGAAATTACAGGTCAAAATAAATCAGATCTAAACCAAAAAAATCCAAACATCCTTGTTTGCCCTGAACTAAATAATTTAAGGATCTTAAACCAAGAATTGATGGGTTCCTCACAGGGTATTGGCAGATTACTCAGACCAAGATCCAAGATGTCTTTTATTAAATTTTGCTCTTTCCTCTTATCAACTCATCTGTTAGATTTCACTGACTTTCTAAACAAAGTCACTTATTTTAGCTATACTCTAGCTATATTTATTGAGTACTATGCACCAAGCAACCTAATACTTTTACATGTATTATCTCATTTAAGCCTCAGAACTCTGTAATAAGGTGAGTGTTATTATCCCCATTATAAATATGAAGAAACTATGGTTTAGAGAGATTAAATAACCTTGCCCAGACAGGAATAAAGACGCAGACCTACTAGAGAATGGACTTGAGGATACGGGGAGGGGGAAGGGTAAACTGTGACAAAGTGAGAGAGTGGCATGGAAATATATACACTACCAAACGTAAAATAGATAGCTAGTTGGAAGCAGCCGCATAGCACAGACAGGGAGATCAGCTCCGTGCTTTGTGACCACCTAGAGGGGTGGGAGAGGGAGGATGGGAGTGAGGGAGATGCAAGAGGGAAGAGATATGGAGGTATATGTATATGTATAACTGATTCACTTTGTTATAAAGCAGAAACTAACACACCATTGTAAAGCAATTATACTCCAATAAAGATGTTAATAAATAAATAAATAAATAAATAAATAAATAAATAAATAAATAAATAACCTTGCCCAAGGTTCAAGCTGGGAACTGAACTCATTGTTTTACTCCAGACTGGCTTTTTTTTTAAACTTGCCTAAATGAGGAGAATAGAATTTACTTATTCTAGAGACTATTTTTTAAGGAATTTATAGGGCTAATCAAGTGAGTGACTACTAAAGGAAGAGTTTGAAAGAGGAAGAATAAGAAGACCTACTATAGAGTCACTCGTTTAAAATTTAAGGCATTTAGTAAGCAGCATTAAAGGGCATTAAAATTTATCTCACTAGGTAGCAAATTATAAGTGATATGAAGAACTTTTAAAAAGTGTGAAATCAATTAGATAACCAGATAACAGTAAGAAACAAGTCATTATTTCAAGCATTTCCCTTTTTACTAAAGTTATTTAATTTAAATGTGAATACCTGGAATTTCACCAGGACAGCATAAAATTTGGTATTTGTTGGGTCCATCTTGGGCCACCATCTAAGGTTTGTTGCTACTTAAGTCCCAAAGCAATATGGACTCTTTTCAGCAATAAAAACTTAAACAACAATTAAATTCAATGGCACAGATTCCAAGGGCAACTATTACACTGAGACACGCACAAGTTATTACATAAAGTATGCTACTGTAAAATTTAAACTCTAAAGTATCCTTCAAAAGAAACTGGTCCAATAAACTTCTGAATTAAATTAATAGTTCAGATTCTTTTTCTGTTTTTTACATCTTTATTGGAGTATAATTGCTTTACAATGGTGTGTTAGTTTCTGCTTTATAACAAAGTGAATCAGTTACACATATACATATGTTCCCATATGTCTTCCCTCTTGCGTCTCCCTCCCTCCCACCCTCCCTATCCCACCCCTCTAGGTGGTCACAAAGCACCAAGATGATCTCCCTGTGCTATGCGGCTGCTTCCCACTAGCTATCTATTTTACGTTTGGTAGTATATATATGTCCATGCCACTCTCTCACTCTGTCACAGCTTACCCTTCCCCCTCCCCATATCCTCAAATCCATTCTCTAGTAGGTCTGTGTCTTTATTCCCGTCTTATCCCTAGGTTGTTCATGATATTTTTTTTCTTATATTCCATATAGATGTGTTAGCATACAATATTTGTCTTTCTCTTTCTGACTGACTTCACTCTGTATGACAGACTCTAGGTCCAACCACCTCACTACAAATAACTCAATTTCATTTCTTTTCATGGCTGAGTAATATTTCATTGTATATATATGCCACATCTTCTTTATCCATTCATCCGATGATGGACACTTAGGTTGTTTCCATCTCCTGGCTATTGTAAATAGAGCTGCAATGAACATTTTGGTACATGACTCTTTTTGAACTATGGTTTTCTCAGGGTATATGCCCAGTAGTGGGATTGCTGGGTCATATAGTAGTTCTATTTGTAGTTTTTTAAGGAACCTCCATACTGTTCTCCATAGTGGCTGTACTAATTCACATTCCCACCAGCAGTGCAAGAGTGTTCCCTTTTCTCCACACCCTCCCCAGCATTTATTGTTTCTAGATTCTTAATATAGTAGCCATTTCATATTAACCAAAAACCTTACAGAATTTAGAGATCCTGAGCCACACAGTGTGTTTACTTGGCTAGGTCTACCTATGTATGCTAAACTCTTATGTTTCACAAGTATAATTAATTTATGGCATTGCAGATATCTAAGTTTTGATGTTAGCAAAAATTTAAAGAGAATGTATCTAATTTCTAATCAATTTTTAGAATTTGGAAAGCTTAGTATTAGATAAATAAGGGATTAATTAAACCTCAAGACATTGAGGAGGAACAGTGGAAAGAAAGGTAAGAGGAACACCAAGCAAATATTCACCAGCACCAATCAGACATTTTTTTCACTCTTTGAAACGAATCAAGTTTTACTTGCCAATGGGCAACTTCTTCAGGAGTGAGGGGGGTTCTGGCACTTTACCAGATGCTACAGGGTAGGTAATATTTTGTATTAAATGGAGAAAACACTGCCTTTCTTCCATTTAAAAATATCTTACTTTTAAAAGGTGAAAAATTAAAGTTGAAATTTCAACCAAAACTTAATTTATCACACTGAATTTCAAGTGTTCCAGAATTTGAAAAACTATCTCTAGCAAAGAATTCACAAAATTATTTGTGAAATCTCTTATGCTTCAGCCTTTTGTCCTTCTTCTAGAATTTATTCCTATACTTTTTTTTTCACATAAAATCACTTCTAAGTCATCCGTAATCAATACAACTCACTTCTGACTCTTTCAGCAGAATAAATCCATAATTCCTTTCTATTTCATCAACTACACAGTCATCTCGATTCCCACTATGTTAAATCTTAATCTATGCATTGCACCTTTACCATCAGACAGAAATGTCAAGGAATCAGAGAACTGGGGAGGATATTAAATGTTTTCTAGTCCAACCCCTTCATAAAAGTGAAATATGTAATTTGCCCATTTACACAGATAATTTAATAGGCCTGCCAAGACTAGAATCTAGTTCTTCTGGCTCTCATTACTGTGGGCTTTACAACAGAGGACAAAATAACATATTCAACCATATTATCTGAAAACAGTAGGAGCATTTTCTTAATTGAGTAAAGTATCACTTGTTGTAATCCCCCATTCCTAGTTTCATCTCTAACAATTCCACAGTATCTCATGTTTCTGTTTACTTTTGGTCCCAATTTACCATTTATCTTTTCTGCTCTCACTCTGATTTTTTCTTTAATTTTTACCACCCTATGCCCCCCTCTTACACTTCAGACACTTCTCTCTTCTATCATTCAGACTGAACCTGTCCAAATTCAGTTTCTTTGTTGACTGTCAAGCGAGTCTTATCATCTTCATCAAAATGACTACTGTTAAGAGGCTACTGAAAAACTTGGCCACAAAAGTAGAGAATTTTTTTTTCAAAAAAATGAAAAGGTAGTGCTATTAGTAACAACTTTCTGAGGATATGGTATCAGAATATAATTAATCACCTAGTGCAAGATATTCCTCTATCACTATATAAGCATCTAACTGACTTCTTTGAAATGACTGAAGTACTTCCTTTTTCAGCTTTATTAACAATGCAACTTAAAATGTATTTTATATTTTAATATTTCCTACACATGAGAACTGATGCAGGTATTTATGCAAACTGAGCTTTTCATTTCCAATGACATATTTCCACTATATTCCAAGTTTCCTTACCTCAACCTTCCTACAAAATTATAAGAATGATTTTATCTAGACTAGTGACACATAGCCTTACTTTAAGAAAATAAGCCCTACAAATGTATTTTCCTGGCAAAAGAACAATTTTTCATTGTAATTTCTCCCCTTCCCCAATACAGTTTTGATATTTAGTATGTTCTGACTTTTAAAAAAGAAAGAAAAAATATAACAAAGAAAATGCTTTACCAAAATCCTGCATAATCATGGTATGTGCCATTCTAGAGTCTGATGTGTGCAATCCAAGACTTCCACCACCTGAATCCATACTTAGCAAAGTTCATTCACAAATCTCTGTAAAAGAAATGGTTTTAAAAATAGTTTAAATACATTTAGGCCAAAGTCAGTTGCTTTGAGAAAATAATGCAATTGAAAATGTGCCTCTCAACCAGGTGTGCAAATCTCATTACAAAGAAAAACAAAACAAACAAGCAAAAACCTTGATTAGATGCTTTACGTGACAACCATAAATAAAAGAAGGGTCAAATGGAAGTAAACCAAAGATAATGGAGAATAAGCACAGTAAGGGTGATGAGCCATAGGGAAGTGAAAGAAGCAAGCAAAAGAACAAAACTGTAGCACTGAGGTTCCACTTAAAATATAGGTTATTAAATAAGAAGAAAAAAGAGAACAAGATGACAACAGACAATAGTTGGGATATTTATACATTACTAGAGGACTCAGGTGTCTAGTATTAGTGAATTGCATCCAGTGGCTCTCATCCATTTCTTCCAGACCCAGCTCAGCTCTGCAGCGTAGTTCTGCAGATAAACGTGTGTTTCACCTCTGGCTCCCGGGGTTCTACTTATAATGTAAAATGTTCTATCCCAGTTTCTCTGGAGTTCTTTGAGCCAGTAAGGACGTCTGGCCTTATTCTACTACATTCTCTTGTCTCACAGTTTTGAGGACTCATGAAACATGACTGCTTCCTAAATATAGTGGAGATAAGATCAATCACATACAAACATTTAGTAAATTGGTTCTTTCAGAATATCTTTTACTTGTAATTGTATGACTAATTTTTTTCATTAATGATTAATAAAGTCACACTAGCCTCATGCTAGTTTTGAAAGCAAGTGCTCAACCTATTTCATTTCAAATGACTTATCCTATATTTAAGATCACCAGATCATATGGAACCTAAAGTCAGGTTCTGTAACTCAACGTATTTCTTACAACTACATGTATACTTTGCTTTCAAACATAAGATTCTAAGTAAATCAACCAAAAAGTCTGTCAATTTTATAAAACATTTCCTCATTTTTAGTTAGGAATGTTTAATAAATTGGGCTATACCACACAAAAGATGAGGTTGCATCATTAAGTTTTAGAAACTTTTAGAAAGCTGCCATGTAAGCCAACTTAACCTATCCTTAAGTACCAGAGATCACTAAGATTTTTTCCCTTGTCTCAAAATTTGATAGGTGTAAAAGAGGCAGGAAAGTCTCACAGAGTAATCTTTATTAACATTTGAGTCATGTATATCAAAATCCTACAGCAATAGGTTATTTTTCTATAAGTTAAAATGATTCAAACAAAATTACTTCATGTGTGAGCAAAATTACAAATTTTTAGAAACTCTTAGCTATATTTCGCTATCTTTTTCAAATACCACATTATTTTCTGCCTTCAAAATGAAGTCAAGAGGGGCCAAGAGAGTTCACAATAAACTACCCGGGGCTTCAGAGAGATAAATTAAAATGCCATAAGGACTTATTTTTAACATTTAAAACAGTGTACTATTTCAAATTTAATTAGAATAATTGCTTTCTTTATCACATAACTAATAGAAAAATGTCTTTTAAATGTTTTAAACATTTAATTTTGTTTAATTATTAAAGATAAAACATTAATTTGTTAATCACCTTAATATAAGTATCCTGAAGAAACTGTTGATTTTCTTACATATTGTAAAATAAAATCTGCAGCACTTTCTTTTTGTTATTTTTCCTTCTGAACTGCATTACTTTCTTTGGAAAAACGTTCTTTTTACCTATTGTAAAAATACATTCACAATTAGATATTTTGAAATATTTTAAACCAAATCTCTTACACAACTTAAGAATTTTTCTTTACACTTTAATGTGCAGGGTGAGATTAGGAAGGGTTCATATGCTCAAAACTGCTAATCTAAAAAGCAACCGAAGGGATTGCAACAGAAACAACTACCTAAAACGACATAAGCAATGTTATTTCACTTAGAATTCGACCACCTGATTAAACCAAAATCTTCCCTAAAGCATATTTTAATAATCACTAGCAATACCTCATTTTGGAAAGTAAAAGAGAACCAACCAAGGGCAAGCGTTACCCTTGCCAAATTCAGAGAAAAATCTGCACTAGTGCTCATTGAAGTGTAAAAATTTTAACACACGGTGCAACTATGACAGGAAGTATCACACTGCAAGAATACCAAATAAATAAATTGGAGCACATTTTTCCCATATAGGAAGTTTCAATAAGATCAATAATGAATGAGGTATGAGAACAGCAGTGTGTTAAGGATTCAACAGCCAATAGATAGCTAGGCTTCTCAGTCTTCTCAAGAGTGTATCTCCCATCCTTATTGAATGGAGGTAACCACCAAGCACTCTTCAAGTAAACATCTTTCCATAAATATGTGGGGAGCAGAAATCACAAAACAAAAATCAAAACAAGACAACCCCACCCCCACAATTTACTCTCATTTGTCTCCTCGTCTCCTATCTAAACATAGTTCACTCAGGACCTATTTTCTCAATAATGTAAATAGGGTGAAGGACAGGAGAGAAATCCTAAGGCGGCAGAGCAAGAGAATGTGAAAGTAGTATTAGCAGAGATAGGAAACAAAGGAGCCCTGGCAAGTAGCAGTATTGCAGCTTTGGACGCAGCCCTCTTCCCGCAGAAGTCTCCCTTTCCCATGATCATGCCAAGTTTCAATGATTTTGAGCAGAATGCACACATGTGCCCTCCCATATATTACCCATCTGCCTGGATCTTCAACCAAACAAGAGAACCTTCGCAGTGGAAAGTCAAGAGAGCGAAAAGACAAGAATACCCTTTCCCCTCCTCCCGCACTTGGTGCAGCGGTCGGCACCGCTGCTACCCACGCCGTGCTGCCCAACCCCTCATCCTCCTCCTGCTACCTCTGCCCCGCTACACGGGAGACGGCGGCTGGGAACCAAAATGGTGGTGTTTTAACGGAGGCGACAGTTGCCGCACACGGCCCCCCACCCCCACCCAGGCTCTGACGGCTCCCTAGCCCCTAAAATGCCCGATTCGGTGCCACCTTCTCGCAAACGCCGCCATCCCTCGCGCGTTCCAAGGTTACCATCCGCGGCAGGCGGGGGGCGGGGGCGAGGTAGGGGCAGTGCAACCGAGAGGAATATTGCGGGG